ATGTGGGGCCCCGGCCTCCCGCAGAGTCACCTTGGGGGATGACACTCACCGAGGCGCGAGGTTCACACGGGGCCTCGGGAGAGGAAAGAGAGAGCACAGCAGAGGGAAGGCCGTGCAAGGCAACCTCTAGCAACAGGGGCCACTTTGGCCAGAGCAGACGGCCCCGCTGATCCACGGACCCAACAGACTCCGAAGAGACCCTCAGCCACGTCCTCCTTCCTTCTCGTCTTCAGGGGCTGACAGTGTGGACTCTGGGATCTTCACATGACCATGAATTACCCGCTAGCAGCCGAGCGGTCACTGAGTGTGTTTTCCACGGCCAGAGGGTGATACACCATGAGAATCTTCCGGCGCCTCGAATGTGTGCTCTCCGCCAGAGCCGGGGGAAGAGCCCTGGGCCGTGGCCCGCGTACGAACCCGGTGCCTCCGTGGGAGGCACGGTCTCAGACCGGTCCCTTGGCGCTGGTTTCGCCCTGCGATTGCTTCTTCCTTCACCGTCACCAATTTACTCTGCTGAGGGCAGCTTGGTTAACCGTCAGTGAGCACGTTTCATACTTGTAACCCGTAATGCTCCAATAACTTTTTTAAGACCCACATACTGAGTACAGGACTGCGCCCGCCTGCCTGTGTGGCTAGGACCACGCTCCCTGCTTCTGCCCCCACGAAGCTCTCCACTGGCTCTATTTCCCCCCAAGGCAAATTGTTTAAATTCTAGAGCATCGTTTTATCACATAAGCTCACTTTCCTCCATAATAGAGTACAGACACCAGGTGTGGTCAAGGTCCCTTAAGACTGCTTCACCAGCATCGAGTTCCAGCTTCCTTCCTCGTGTAGATGGTGATGGGAAGCTCAGGTCTGGCCCTGCCGGGCTGAGAGCAGGGGGGCAGACACAACAGCAAATCTTTTCATCATGCTCCTTCCTAGGTGGGTGACAATTAAGTGATGTGACTAAATATGTAGCATGGAAATGAAAACTGAGGTCTCACATACATGATGTCAGGTGACGACAGACTATGCAGAACAAGGAAGCAGGGTGAGGGGCATCAAGCAAGGGCAAGGGGGCAAGACTTGACATTAAAATGGAGATCTCGGGGGGCCTGGGTGGCTCAGCCGGTTGAGCGTCCGACTTCAGCTCAGGTCGTGATCTCGCGGTCTGTGGGTTCGAGCCCCGTGTCGGGCTCCGTGCCGACAGCTCAGAGCCTGGAGCCTGCTTCGGATTCTGTGTCTCCCTCTCTCTCTGCCCCTCCCCCACTCATGCTCTGTCTCTCTCTGCCTCAGAAATAAATAAACATTAAAATAATAATAATAAATAAATAAATAAATAAATAAAATGGAGATCTAAAAGAAGTGAGGGAGAAGCCCACAGATGTCTGGGCAAATAGTCCCTCAGTGGCACCTGCAAAGGCCCTGGGGTGGACGCCTGCTTGCCTAGGAAGTAGAGGAGAGAGAAGTACAAGAGAAATCAAAGAGGTGGGGAGGAGACAGGTTCTTGACAGCCTTGCAGGCCACGGCCAGTGCTTTGGAGGCAGAGCAAATGAAGGGCTTTGAGCAGAAAACCCACCTATTCGATTTGTCTCAATACCATCACTCTGATGCCAAATGCAGCATGCAGTGGAGGTCAGGAGGGCAGGGAAGAGGCAGTCCCAACGGTCCAGCCATCAGTGGCAACTTCAGGAAGCAGTGGAGGGTGGTGAGGACCTGTGTTGAAAACTGCGTTAGCAAGATTTATGTTCAGGATGATTCCAGCATCTTTTGGCCCAGGTAAATATTTCACTAGGAGGAATGTGGCGTGTGTGTGGCGGGGGCGGGATCTTGGACATGCTGGGTTTGAGATTTTCCTGCCACCCAACGTCAGAGAGCCAGTTGGACATCAGTTCTGCAGATGTGGACGTGGGGTGCCAGTGCACCAATGATATTTAGTGGGACTGGAGACCAGGGGTGCGTGGAGACGGGGGTCCTGGGACTGAGCTGGTGTCTCCAGGTCCAGGAGCCTGGCAATCACACTGGCCCAGGAGGGTGGCAGAGGAGGAGCAGAGGGAGGTAGGAGGGGACTGAGCAGGGGCCAGGGATATGCTCAGTGATCTGGATAGTAGGGCCGGTGCAGAAAGATGGTGGGGGCGGGGGAGAAGCCCTGGAAAGTTCCAAGCCCATGAGGACACGGCCGCATGTGTGTTTCCAAAGCTCTTCCTCGTTTGAGCAGTGTTTGTAACAAACCTCTGGTGAGTGGGAAGGAGCAGCAGCTTCCCGTGGGTGCCCCAGTTGGAAAGAGGCAATTTCCTGCTCTTCGTGGTTGGCCGAGATTTTTTAACACCACTAAGTGTTGAATTTACGAAGTGGATTTTCAGCACCTACAGGGGATCGGAGGGTTTTCTCCTTCATCTGCAAAGTGAGCAGAGCAATCGCCGTTTGGAGGTGGTATGGCCTTATCTGGGGGACGTCAGAGTACAGGAGTCCCCGAAAAGACCAGTGACTCTCCATCCATTCCTGCCACTTTGGGGCAATTTCCGTAACATCTGTTCCTGGAAGGTCTGATAAAGGTCAGGCAAAACGGGCCTGCCTTCTTTGTTTAGGGATTAATATTTGACCGTTTTCAACTTCTATGATGATGGGTCTTGAGCCATCGTTCAGGGCTTCGTTTGAACTTTTCTTTAAAATGCCTATCTTGTTTGTGCCATCAGGCTGGTATCGCGTGGCACCGTCTCTTTGGGGACTTTCAAGCCCGCCCCACTCCCAGCCCTGAGCCTCGCTCCAGGAGTCTCCCCTGCACCCCCTTCTGTCCCTCCTTGCTCCAGGACTCTCCCCTGCACCCCCTTCTTCTGTCTCTCCTCACTCCAGGGCTCTCCCCTGCACCCCCCTCTGTCCCTTGCTTGGCTGTCACAACTCATGGGCTGTCCCACTGGCCTTTTCCATCTCCTCAGCCACCCCCCGCTCCCCGCCCCCTGCACCGCTCGCTCCCGGCTGCGTTTGCTTTGGTTTGTCTTCATTTGGGCTTTTTCCTACTGCTCTTCTCTGAGCTTCCTGGACCAAAAGTTCAGTTCAGGGACGTTTGGTCCTTACGGGGTTCTGGGAGAGCGGCCATGGCCCCAGCCTCTCTCTGCCCGCCCCTGTGGTGGCGTCCTACAGGTTTAACGGGTGCTAGTCCCACTTATGCTCATCTTTAATTTTTTTTTTCAACGTTTTTATTTATTTTTGGGACAGAGAGAGACGGAGCATGAACGGGGGAGGGGCAGAGAGAGAGGGAGACACAGAATCGGAAACAGGCTCCAGGCTCCGAGCCATCCGCCCAGAGCCCGACGCGGGACTCGAACTCACGGACCGCGAGATCGTGACCTGGCTGAAGTCGGACGCTCAACCAACTGCGCCACCCAGGCGCCCCTAGAGACATTTTTAAAGCATAGACCTTGTTCTTATTAAACTGCGTTATGTTCAGCGAACAGATTACAGGTCACACACGCGTATGTTTTTGTATGAACGTGTGTGTGTGTGTGTGCGCACTCAGTGAGCACACGCAGATTACCTATCTGCCTTTGCAATTTCTTGACAGTTTCCCTACGGTCAACAGATGGCCAGTTTTCATGGCTGTTCCATGTATGATAGAACATAAATCATGTATTTGAGCAATCCACAATGGAAAAAATAAACTCATGTTTATTGTTTTATTTGTTCCTTTTTGCTCTCTTGACCTGTTGCTTTAAATTGGAACAAAGCAGCTCTGTTTTCCAAAGACCCCTCAGGCTGTGGCCATGTGGCTGGGGAGCGAATCGGCCGGAGGCCCCCCTTGTCCCCCGAACGCTTCCTGTCCCCCTGCCCCAGCACAGAGGACACGGGTCTCAACTCACCTTCTCCTGTGGGGGTGTCTCTCTTGCTAACAGTACCTCCCTGTGCAAGTTCCACAGGCCCAGGCCCATTACCCCACCACCCCTGCCCACTGCGTCCAGCTCCACCAGACAAGGGTTAAAACTGCACAGCCCATGACGCCTGGACACAGGTGCCCCGTGAAGACCATGACCTGCCCGCCTCCAGCTCCCAGAATAGCCTGTGGCCAGGGCTGGCCTGTAGTAAACAGCCCCAGGAGCCTCCCTGGTGGGTCCCGGATGAGTAATCCCTAGGAAAACATCGAAGGAGCCCAGAGGTATAGGTGCCAGAACCTAGTGGGTGGGTCCCTCTGGACCTCCCTCCTAGGCCCTTCTGGAATATTCCCCAGCTATTTGGCCAGGAGAGGAGCCCGCAGCTCCCAGGACAGTCTTTCCCCAGCAGCTCTGTCTCCTCACCTCGTCACACACCCCCAAAGTCTCTTCTCTACCCTCATGCTTGTGGAGGGGGGGGGGCCCACTTTCCAGACGACTTCTGTCCTGGCCCTTCCACACCGCCCCTGTCCCTCACCCCACTGTCACCTGCATGCCCTTCCTACACTGCTACTCTTCCTGGGTCTCACATCCACCACCTGCAGAAGCCCTGTATTAACGGGGGCCCTTCCGCCAGGCCAGCTGGTGGCTTCGCGCACCTGGGGAGGCTCAGGGCACAAGGCTCACCTCCAGTGTGCTTTGACCAAGAGCGAGGAGGGACTTGTAGCGGGGGAGCCTGGACAAGGGACCCGGCCACGTCTGCATCCTGTGCCCGGGCTACTGGCTCCCTCTCTGCCTGGAAAGCCCCTCCCTCCCCAATCCACCGCGGACCCTTTTTCCTGCTGGCCCAGAACTCGCCATCCCCACCACTGCAGCCCGTCACCCTCCCCTCGCCCCTGCAGGGTCTTCCTGGCCGATACCCTTGTATATATCCTTGGTGCCCTGGGGACCATACTCCTGCTCAAGCACCCTCAGAGAACCCAGAGCTCAGCTCAGCACCCAGGCTCTCTCACTGGTGGGAAAGGGAGGCTGGTCCTGCCTTGCCCTCAAGCCACCGCCCCATTTCTCCACACAAAGTTCCTCAAAAGTCACATCTGCCCTTGGTCTCCACCACCCTCTGCTTCCCTCAGGACTCCTGCCAGCCTCACCCTGCCCCACCAGGGCCGTCTGGATAAGACCACCAGTGGTCAGCCTCTGGGCCACACCGGCAGGCCATCGTGGCCTCCTGGTTCATGGTGCCCCTTCTGTGTTCGCCTGGTTGTTCACACGCCTCCTGGCCTCAGGGGCAGAGGTCCTGGGGCCCAGGCCTCGGCCCCGCCGCCCATTCCCACCCGGTCCTGCGGGCACATCTACCCGTGGCTCTGTACGCTGGCACTCACAGTCCAAAATCAGACTGCTCATGCCCAGCACCCAAACCTGGGACCCTCAGTTTCCCCTGCCCCATGGCTGACCCCTGATTCTACCTTCAGGGGGTGTCTGAGCCCGAGATGCGGGGAGCCCACGCCACCCAGGTCTGAGTGGCCACCTCCCACCAATAACCGGTCCCCCCTTTGCTGTGCTGGCACAGCCCCCAGCCGGCCTTTTCCAGTCCTGAGGTCGCACGTCCCTCTTTGTCCCTAAGCCTCTGCTGGATGCTGGCCTGACATGGCCACCCTGGCCCGCGGTCTCCCCCTCACTCAGTTCCAACCTTGAAGAACATGCCAGATGCACTCCTACCCCAGGGCCTTGGCACTTTCGGTGCCCTGCCCAAACACCACTCCCACAGACTTCCAAGTTGCTAATTACCACACAGGCACGTTTCTAGTCAAATGTCACTTTCTGGGGGGTCTTCCCTGGCCACTCTGTATAAATGGCCCTCACCTCACCCAGAATGTCCAATCCCCTCTCTGCTGCACCAACTTTATTTTTCTATGTAATTCTCGTTACCACCAGACATATTCTACATTGGCACATGGGAGCTCCAGCCTTTAGGAGAAAAAAGTCCCCCAAATCTTTCCCTGGTCTCTGACAAGGCCTCATGTGCGGCTCCCGGGGCCCTTCCCGGAGCAGCCCAGCCTGGCCCACCTGGCATCTGCTCAGGGACAATAAGACAGAAGCCTAAGGGAGCTTCCGGCCCCACGTGCATGTGTGTCTCTGCAAACGTGTGTGTGTGTGTGTGTGTGTGTGTGTGTGTGTGTGTGTGTGACTGGATGTGCCTCTGTGGGTGTGAATGTGTGTGTTTGCTTTTTGTGATTTCCATGGATGAATCAACTGGACCGCATGCAATTACTCCCCAGAGCAAAGTACAAGGAACCAGGCAGAAACATCTGGCCGAGGGTTTTCATGCTATGTCCCCTGTGGTGTGGGCTCTGTTTTCAAAGGCCATTTCATGTGTGCACCTTAGCCCGCTGACACCTAACCCAAGTTGGATGGTGGCTTGTGGTCTGCTCTGGGCACCCGCTCGGCACCAGCACAGAGCTGTGAGCGAGGCGTCATGGGAGGCTCCCACTTAGTGGAGCATGTGCATTTGGGGGGAGACGAGCCATACACCGGAACAGAAGAGTTGCCTTCAGATGGTGACGGCTGTTGTTAGGGAAACAGAGTGGTGGGACATTGAGGGAATGGGGGTGGGGATACTTCGAAACCATGTGGACAGTGAGACAACACTTCCTCAAGGTGATAGCTGAGATGAACCAAGAACTCCACAAGGGAGCCATCGAGTGGTGAACAGGAGTCCAAATAACACCTCAGCTCCCAAGAGAGGTCAGCGGGGGTGGGACGTGAGGCCCCCTACACGATGTCTATGGTTCCCGGGGGCAAGCCACCCCACGGCCACCCTGAGGACACTGGCCGGCGGAGGGCAGGGGGGGACAGAGGCTGCAGAACCCCACAGTCTAGGGAGACATTGTGGGGCTCAAGGTCCTGCTCCCCGGGGCAGGGGCTGCTCACCAATCTCCGTTCAGACATCATCTCCTAGGCCACCTCCTAGGCCTCTCTCTAGGTAACCTCGCCCAAAGTTCCCTTTGCTGCACACAAATGGTGCAGTTGGTGTAGAATGGAGGGGGAGCTCCAGCTCCAGGGCGGGCCCACCTTCACACCTAGTCCCCTCTAGCCTCCAGCTCCAGAAGGGCTGAGCAGCCTTTCACTTACTTCAGATGGCCTCTGAAACCCTTACTGCACTGATCAGTTGGGCTGAGACTCCTCTCCCTCCTCGAGTATCCAGTGGACGCCCACTACATGCTCGGTCGGCACTGGGCCAGACACAGAGATTCAATGACGAGTCTCTTCCTGAATGCACGGAAGAGAACACTGAAGTCCAGAGAGGGCAGTGAGATGTCCAGGCAGCACAGCAAGGGGAGGGGAAGGTAAGGGCTCCCTCCTAAGCGCCCCACCACAGACTGCTTCCTTCTCTCTGCTGCCGGAGAGGCTGAGAATGTGCGGTGCCTTGAGCGCTCGCCTGTTTGCTTGACGGTGGATGTGTTTGGACCGCCTTCCCCAGCCAGGTCATTACCCTTCTCACCAGGACTTTGGCCTGACATTCACATTAATATTCCCTACTGGGGGCCGGGGGCCCAGAGGCTGTGTGGGCCCAGAAGAGGTCATGCAGAAGGGCCACGTCTGGGTATGGGTGGCTGATTTTATGCATCTTGTGAAGCAAATGACACACACACACACACACACACACACACACACACACACACACACAGGGGCGAGCGAGGGAGGTGCGGCCTCCGCAAACACCAGGTACCTCCCAGTGCCAAGCAAATCTTAGGCGGGAGCGCCCGGCCCCACCAGAGTTAAGGCGCAGGCGTGTCCTCTTGGGGTGGGATGGGGCCCCAGCCGGGTGCAGGAGCCTCCCCCCTGCTCTGGCACCCCCCAACCCCCGCCCCAGATTGGCTATTGGGGCCAAATACCGAGCTCCCCTCCTCTCCTCTCGTCCGAGGCGGGGGCGGGGAGGGGGGCACAAGGTCGCCGCCCGGCAGGGAGCTCATCCGGCGGCGCAGACGCCCAGCGGCTCCGGGGAGGGACTTGGCCGGGGCTGCGGCCCTCCGCTCATCTGGGGAGGAGCCGGGAGGCTGCAGCTGGCGGCGGCCGGCCCCGGGCGGACAGAGGTCCCGGAGAGCCACAGCCTGGCCTGAGGGTCCCCCCCCCCCCCCCCCCCCCCCCCCCCCCCCGGCGACAGCGCACCCCCCGGGCCCCCCGGGGCCTCTCTCGGCAACCGCGGGAAGAAGGCGCCCTCTCCTTAGCGGGCCCGGAGCTGCAGCGGCAGCGCGGGGCGCGGCCGAGGGGAGGAGAAAGGAAAGAGGGAGCGGAGTCGGCTCGGCCTGGCGGTGACTCGTGGGGCCGCGTCTCCGCCAATCTGCGGGCGCTGACGCGGGGGGCGGCTCCGGGCTCTCGGATATCTGCCGGCCCGGGCGCGGGGCGCCGAGAGGCTCGGCCGCGCGGGCGCTGCACCTGCCCCGGGACCTCCCCGGCCGCTCCGTGCGCCCCCCAACCCGGTGCCCGGCCCCTCCCAGTCCCCCCCCCTACCCCCCACCCCGCTCGGCCTCAGGTCCCCGCCTCCGGGGCCCTGCCCTCAGGAGCCGCCCCTTCTCCGGCTGGCCCGCCCGGCGCCTAGCGCGGCCCACGGACCCGCTGAGGGGTTGGGGGGAGGCGGTGGCGCGCCGCAACCCCCGCCCCCGGCAGCCGCACCCTGGCCTACATGGGCCGTGGCGTCGCGCTCCTGCGCGCCGGATGAGCGCAGAGACCGCACGCCGGCCGCTGCGTGCCCGGGGCCTCACCCGGCTGCGCCCCCAGCTCCGCGGACGAGGGCCGCCGGGCGCGGCCGCTCCAGAGAGGCGACAGGGGACGGCCCCGAGATGGCCGGGCCAGCGGGCGCTCTGGCGGCGGGCGCCCTCCACGTGGTGCGGGCCCGGGGGCAGCCCCCGAGCTGGTAGCCGCCCGACGCC